TTGGACTTAAAGTGTGAGCTCTAGGAATAAGAGGCTGTTGTTAGCGTGAACTTAAATAATGCTAATACAGGGTGCAATTAAACGACTACAAAGAATGGGTACATGAGTCGCCTTGCCTGCCTACCTCTTAGGTGGCCAGGCTGCATTAAGAAGCTTTAATTTTGTGGCTTCTTTGATACTTTGAGCAAAGTCCTGCCCTCAGACATGCACACACAACCTCCATTGAATTAATACATCTCCTGTTTATCTCTCAGTGCTGCATCTAACCCTTTCTGCAGTCGTAGACTCCTCTGACAGCTCAGTGAGTGTAACATGATTCATCCTTCCCTCCTCTTTCTCTTCCCTTGACTAGACACTAACAAACATAACAGAACTTGAGACAAGAGAAAGAGGCCCCTTATAATGAAAGATTCAATCACATCTTACCAAAAACAAAGGAGGGCACTAGCTAGTGCATGAAGCTGGCTCCATTCTTCTAATTGAGGTACATAAATAAAAGGGAGAGAATGGCCCGCATTCACCTCTAGTTTAAGCAGGTGCAACCTCTCAGGCCTCCATGCTAGTGCGTTTGCTTAGGGCTGAATTTGGCCTGAACAATAAAACTGTGTATCATATAGTTTTAAAGGACCTGATCTGTTCCACTGAACTCTACTGATTTTCTCTCTGACACAAAATACACATGCATGTCTCCTCTACGATGTAATGGTAGGAGAGTTCCTTTATGTTGTACGTACGTTTCTTCCCTCTGGGCGCGCGTTTCGTACTTGCTATATACCCTGACCTGTCTCCTCCACCAAATAGCAGCAACATCCCCACAAATGCTATATCATAAACTACTCATTCATTATGTTCACTATTTTCTATGTTGTGTATTGGACTATAATGTAAACTTGTTTGACTTTGTAAGAGAGAGTTCTTGTTCACAAGGTAAAGGTGACTTCTGCTCCTAAATGCACAGTTATAAACTACTTTTAAGAATGTCTCTAGAACACAACTGGACTACTGACAACTCTGGGGTTCTCTTGTATTCTGCCCTGATTTACTGTGTGACTGCAGACAATTCACTTTATACACAAGATTATGTATACATAGACCTAACATAAGCAGCACATAAGGAGACAGAAAGGAGACAAAAACTAGCATATAAAGAGAGACAAACAACATACAGTTTATACACAGACTAGGAAGACAGTAGTAAGGCTTTTAGAGACAATGTCATAATGAAAGTGGGGTTAAAGATGGTGAACCTACAACAGACATCTGTTTTTAATGCAGATGACATAGCACAACATGTGCATGAGGCAAGAGGAATGAGGTAGGAATACAGATACAGCCACACTGAGTAAGTCCTAAAATCAATTTCTTATTCTAACAGTGGCCAGCACCATCTCCTTTAGAAAAACTGAAAAACCCCTGCATTCTATGGATTTAGCATAGTCTGCCTCCCAATTAGATAGCTAAAGGTGATTATAATTAATAATATATTGCTAAATAATAATAGTAATAAAAACATGTAATTAGAATAAGTAAGAATTAGCTCAAGTCAGGAGTTTGGAAAAAAAATTGAATTTGGGAAGAATAAACAGCTTGAATTGGAGAACATAAACAGAGGACGAAGCAGCAAGACAAACCAGTGGCCTGGATATATCAATTGGGAGAGCAGAAGGGATTGAAGGAAACTCCAAGAAGTCATGCTGAAGTAACAGAAGAGTTTTATTAAAAGTAATAATGAATATCAGTGGAGAAGGGAGTTGAAAATTTTGCATTAATTTCTATTCGGGCCACATTAAGATGATGCTAAAGAGAGAAGTGAGTTTTGTATTTACTAACATAAATGAACTCATTGACCCAAAGCTGTAAGAGTTAAAAAAACCCACCCCTGAGAATGAGAATGTATTAACAAAATATATGAAAATGAAAAAAATTATCACAGCTTCTTTGGAGGGAATGTATCGTATTCTCCACAGATAGTCTAGAACACATTTTTCAGAAGGTGTACAAAGTACACCTGTCTTTTGAGCATTTTTGATAAAATTACTGAGAAAATCTGTGTGATGTGCAACATAAGCCTGAATTTTAATAAATCTGTCATACTCTTTTATTGCTAAGTAAGTATGATGCTGCTACTCAACGCCTGATGGTGAAACAGACACTTAGGAAGATCTAAACACGACTTCTTGCATACAAGATAATTTCATTTAAAAAAAAATAAAATCACAGTTTTCTTGCTGCATAACAGATGCTCCAGCAAGTAAAGGATGCTGACTGAAGCAGGAAAGGGCAGAAGACAGAAGAAAGCAAGTTTCCTGTTGAAAATCAAAGCACCTAAACACTTTGATGATGAAAAGGCAAGAGACAGTACTCACAGTAAACTTGTGCACATTCTCCTAAAATGCTGACTTAATGTATTAGGGTACTTATTCAGATAAAGAGCATAGATCCAGTTTTGCCTTCCGACACATCACGAAAATAGTGTTGACTGATGGAAACATTTGGTCTCAAATCAACAAATCAGCATACAAATGTGGGGCCTTTCTGTCAATTAAGCTATTAAAACGTAAGATACACACATCTCTTAATAGATCTATACCAAAGCAACAAATTCTTGCTCCTTTCCACTGTTAAGTTAAGGTCATCCTGCCTAACAAACCATTTCATATAGACTCTCTCAAAAGTCTGCTCTGCAGGCAATGGCAGATAACAGACAGCTGAATGACTGAATACTCTAGGTCATCCAAAAAATTAGATCAAAGAGTCCCTGTAGTCTATTGAAATGCAATTGCTTCCAAATCACATTGTGGTGTTCCAGGCTTGAAAGAATGGGTCACTGCAGTTTTATTGTAGAGAAGCTATTGCTAATGAAAGGAACAATGGAAAGATTAGTGCTACCAACCATATAGAAGAAATACCACTTTCGGTTTAATTGCAGTGAACAAAGCAAATAGGAAAGAAGGGCAACCAAGTGACAAAAGTAGTTGGTGCAAAGAGGATATAGAAGCTATTCACAAGGCTCTCTTGATCAGAGCACAGCGTCCAGACTTAGCATATGATTACTGAATTTGGATCACAGTAAAAAATGACGTGGTTGTCATTACAGACAGCTGACGACACATTTTTTAGAAGGCAGTCTTACAAACTGAAAGACTAATAATCCTGTTGATAATTTGCCTGGGATTCATTAGTTGCACTGAAATTAATAAATGGATAGGGAGAAAGGAACAATTATGCTTTATTTGTAATACCTACTCCGCAGGAGATTATTATAAGTAGAGGTTTACTTCATTTACCAGTTAAAAAATAACAATTTAAGGTGAAGTCTATTGAACCTTGGAACTGATTAAAGAAAGAGAGAGATTCTAATTGGTGATAATCTAGGTACTGAAAAAGGTTCTGCCATAATAAATTTGTTCATGCCACAATGTTTACTCTCTTTTGATCAGTTTCTGGATCTTTTCTAAGTGAAGCTTACCAGTCATAACAATCTCTATGTCGAGACAGTGGTAAAAGATCCATTTCAGTCTCAGTTAAGATCACTACATTCTGTTTCTCTGTGACCTGAGGCAGACTTGAACCTTCCTTCTCCAGGCAAGACTTGACAAGCCCAGCTTCACTCAGATCATAAAGCGTGTTGAAAAACAAAGCGTGACCAAACAGGGGAGATCACCCAAACTGTAACTGTTGTGTGTAGGTACAGCACTTCTCTTAGAGGAAAAGGCAAACACTGCAATAAGTGAAAACTTTTTTTTTCTGAGTAAATATGGTAAAAGCTAGTGGTTGTGAAAATGAAGCTTCCGCAGAAACAAGTAAGCACATCCGATAGTAACAGTTCAGCACTACAAACACAACTTAAAAAACAAAAGAAAGCTTCATTCCAGTTCCTGGCACCTGCTCCAAAGTCACATTTGCAACTGTTCAAATGAACTACAAGATACTAATTCCTCTAACTTGCTCAGAAAAAAAGTAGAGCATTCAAAATATAGTCTAGACTACTTCAACCAGTTATCAGTATTCAAGAGCTCTTCCTAATGAACCACCCTCTTCTCAAGTCATGGATTACTATTTCAAAGGAAACACTGGGTGCCTCAAGTGCTCCTTTTTTGGTCCCGTCACACAGTTTAATAGTCCTTATGGACAAGTACCTTTGCAAAACAGATTTCTAGAGGGTGACCCAACATATCCTCTGGACCTTAGTCAGCCACAAAGCATATAGATATCTTCATATACCTAACACTATTAAATGTCACTGCTTTCATCTGCATCCCTAGGAGATTTCTTTGCAAGTGCAAGGGCTTAAGCCTAAAAACCATCAATAACTATTAATTCTGTAGATGATTCGTCTGAATTACATCAGTAAAGACTTCTCTGCAGGCAATGAGCACTGACAAATGTATTTTGAAAAAATAATTTGTGAGTAATAATTTTTCATGAACTTGGATGACAGCCATAAATGGAAAATATGCAATGATAATATTTAACACATTCATAAGAGATCAAATAATCAAGACTTATAAACCCAAATAAGGCTGGAATTGTCAAAGGAAACAAAGGGAAATTGGTTCATAACTCCTGCTGAGCTAGGAAATTTGCCCTTTCTTAAAGCAGTTGACAAACCTAGGTACAATATTTTTTTCTCACAAGCTTATGGATTGATTTTTTTTTTCTTTATTCATAGTAGTTCACAAAGGCAGGAAGAGCATTTACTTAAGAGCAAGCAAAAATGTATAAACTATCACAAACTATAACAAATGAAAATTGCTATGGGATAATTACTAGGACTACCAGCCAGTCGTCTGTTTTTTTCCTGAAAGACTGTGATCAAAAAATACAGTTCATTGGCTATAACTAAATCTCTTCTGTTAAATGCAATAGCAGCTAGTCGTATTAGGAAAATCACCAAATGGTGTATGGTATCCTGAATATTATATGAATTACATACCTTCAGCTACTATTCCATGTATGAAAATACTTTTAATGCTGATTTGTTTTAAATAAATACTTACCAAGCCTACACATGTAGATATTGCTACCGAAGAGGTGCTATCATTCCTTATAAATCCCTGGTAGAAACACTGCTCAATTTCATGTTCCTGAGAATTTGAGACTCCATCTTTCCCGAGTACCTGGACAATAAAACTGTTGCTTAAAATGGTCGAAGGTTTAAGTTCTAAGTGAAGTTCCTGTCCAAATGCTGAAAATTTGTAGTGCAAGGAACTCTTTGAACTCTGAGTTGATCTCTTTCTCCTAGTACTGTGCAAAACATCATGTGAAATGTACGATCCACTGGAATCCACTTTGACAGGTGTCACAAACACATAATCTGTAACGACAAAAAGTTAGCCATCAGCTTTTGTATCCAACAAATAAGGTAAGTGTCATTCTAACACTGTAGCATCAGGCTTTCACTATGGCATGAAGCATTCCCTCGTTTAGGGAATGGCCTGAAAACTCTGCAGGCTATGTGTGTATAGGCTTGACTGCGTAAATTCACCCCTGTAAGCCACAGAAGCTCTCAAACAGTGTTTGTTTCCTTTCTGCCCCACTGAGAGGTACAGACTAACTAGCATAGCTGTGAACATTCCCACAATCGCTCTTCTGAAGACATTTGTCATCACCAGCAGATCTGTAGATTTTCCCCTCCCCCTGTATTAATTGCTGTCAAATGTGAAGGCTGCTCTGGTT